TATTTACTTAGAGAGAGAGAGAGAGCATAAGCAGGGGAGGGGTAGAGAATGGGAGACAGAATCCCAAGCAGGTTCCACAGGGAGCCCAACTCAGGGCTCAATCCCACAAACCATGAGATCATGACCTGAACCAAAATCAAGAGTCGGACAATTAACTGACTGAGCCACCCAGGAGTGAATATAAAATTAATTTTATAAAGAGAAGACTTACAGGATTTATTGAGTTTGGGTTTTGTTTTTAGCATATGCATTCTCCTCAAATGACAGGTTTTGCTGAATTTATCTTACACTGAAATATAATCAGTATTACCAAAAACAGCAGTGGTATTTTAGCTCTGTCACTGATTTTATTTATACCTCTAATCTCCCTTAGTATTTAATCTCGAGAAAGGTATGTAAAGGTTTGATTAAAATAATGGCTACAAATACTGAATACCACTATCCACAAAACACAAAAGTTGTATCTTGCATATAGTAATCATTCAATAAATGTCTGCTATTGGACTGAAAAATGAAAACATTATCACATTTCAACAGAAAAAGCCACTGGATATTGACTCATTTGACAAGCAACAAAAAAATTACCTTCAATATACTTTAAAAGCCTCTGAGGAGGTAATAAAGGGAATCGAATTGGTTCTAGCACTTCCACCACATATTTTCTTCTTTTTCCCAGATCCTTCAGAATCCATTGCATTGCAGCTAAGAAGACCTGATATTCATCCTCAATACTAAGCTCTTCGCTTCGCAAAATTTTGATCAGTTGATCTTTTGTAAGTGCCAGGAACTCTTCCCCACTATGAACCTCCAAGAAATGGACATGAATGTAGTTTTCTGTGAATTCCAAAAGATCATGGCAGGCAATTTGCTCAGAGAACTGAAAGATCCCAATGCAGTTCAGTGGATCAATTTGTCCTTTCAGAAATTCACAGCAAAGATTAACAACTTCAGTCAACTGTAGCATGTCTGCTGCAACAATCAACTCCTGGACATTATTCACGCCTATGTTCACTATACCTAGGGAAGTAGGGAGACAAATTAACCAAAAAATAAAACAAACATTTGACTAATGGTCAAAAAGCATTATTTATTTAATATAATTTAATATATTAACTGATAGCTTAGTGTTCGCAGAGTTGATAGATGCTAAATAAAAAGCAACAGGGTGCCTGGGTGGCTCAGTTGGTTAAGCATCTGACTTCAGCTCAGATCATGGTCTCAGAGCAGCTCAGAGCCTGGAGCCTGCTTCGGATTCTGTACCTCCCTCTCTCTCTGCCCCTTCCCTGCTCGCACTCTTTCTCACTCTCAATCTCTCTCTCTCTCTCAAAAATAAATAAACCTTAAAAATAAACTTTTTAAAATAATTTTAAAAAAAAGCAACAAAGGACTTGTGGGAAGAGCAGAAAACTAAATGATGATAATTAACATTTATGGAACACTTACAATGGATAGACACATTAATTGTTTTAGACATTCATTTAACTGTCACCACAACCCCATATAATAGATATTATTTTTTTCTTTTTCTATCAAAATAGAATCAAAAACTTTAAATAATTTGTCACCAAGTCACATGATCAAGTGATTGGGGTAAGGATTGCTATCAAAGTCCATGCTTTTAACATAAGGCTGTTTAACATAATGCATCTAACATTTACTAAGGCACTGAGGTGAGTAACGCAGGGTCTCCATCTTCAATTATGATAAAGTGCCATACAAACATTAATTTTTAATACTAGGTGTAATCAGGAGTCTATACCATATGAGAAGTTTTAAATACTTAACATTTAGTAACTATGTATACCACTCTCTTTCTAGATGGCTTCACTTTCATATATTTACATATGTGACTTTGAGAGAATACCAAATAGTCAATTATATTTAGAAGGGGAAAAAAAAAAACACTAATTCTCCTACCTGATAAGGATAAACTCTCAATTCAATCTTATACTTGCCCTTCATCCCCTTTATGATATTCACTCCACTAAACTATTTATCTAAAGTTTGTATTCCCAATAAGATTTATAAAGTCTGTTGGGGGGAAGGTTTGTCCCTTCTGTATTCTCAATGCCTAGCATCCACAGGTGTTCAAAAAATTTGTCTTAAATAAATGAATGGCTAAAGAGATTATGGTAAGAGGAAGAATATGGCTTGTTGAATGCAAACGGGGATTTCTGAAAGTATAAGAAATGGAATCCACCATGGGAGCAAATGGTAGTGGCTGCAGAGAAAATGGAGGTAAGACTTAGTTGAACGAAATGAGAATTCACTACAAATTTGGACAAGGTAAGATTATGGGTTGTGATCTATGAAGACTGAATGACTGTTACTGGATAAAGCCAAGAGTTACTTGAGAGCAATACAAAGAATGCCCTATAACTTAATAAGGCTTTATAGCTTACAAAAAGCACTTTTACATTTATTAAAATTTATCTCATTTAACCTTCACATGAATTATGAAATGCTATCCCCACTTAACAGCTAAGGAAAATGAGGTTCTCACAAGCTGATTTCAAATTTGTAAGTACCTAACTGCACTATCTATAAAGCTCTGTGAAGGCAGAGGCTCTGCCTATCTGGTGTACTATCATATCCCAAGTGCTTAGCTCACAAAAAGTATTCATGTGGAGCGCCTGGCTGGTTCAGTCAGTAGAGCATACAACTCTTGATCTCAGGGGTTGTGAGTTCAAGCTCCACATTGGGCATAGAGCTTACCTTTAAAAAAGTATTCATAAATATCTGTTGAAAGAATGAATGATTGACTAAAGAAATGGAAATGCCTTGTATCAAATAGCTAATTAGTGACAGAACTAGATCACAAACCCAGGTTATTTGATTTTAAGTGAAGTATATAAAAATCTAATGTGAGAAAAAACTGTTAAGATCTGTTAGAACTGGGAATGGTTAATAAAGAATGTATAGATAGGGGCACCTGGGTGGCTCAGTCGGTTGAGCATCCGACTTCTGCTCAGATCATGATCTCACGGTTTGTGGGTTCAAGCCCCGCGTCAGGCTCTGTGCTGACAGCTCAGAGCTTCAGATATTCAGATACTGTGTCTCCCTCTCTCTCTCCCCTGATCACACTCTGTCTCTCTCTCAAAAATAAATAAGGATTAAAAAAAAAAAAAGAAGAAGAATGTATAGATAAATCCAAAGGAGAGATCAATAGAATAACAGGTTTTGCTGTGCCCACATCCCCCCAAAAGGAAATGCTATTGCAGTGAAAGAACATGTTTTTTAAGAACAAATTATATCAAAGACTGCAAAGTTCTCCGTCCAATAAATACTCAATATCCATTTTCTTTTCATCCTTTACTAAGAGAACCTTGATTTTGCTGTGGGCGGTAATTGTGCTCTGCTGCAAATTACATTTCTTAGTCTCCCTTACAGATAGGGATGAGTTATTTACTATTTGGCCAATGGGATATATGCAGCAGTTACTGGGTAGGGCTAACAGAAAAAGTTAAAAAGAGCATAGACTTAGCTAGCAGGCCCTTCTGCCTTTTCCCCTTCCTCCTTCCACTGGCTGGAGTTCAGCCTTACGAGATTAGAAGCTACAAGCCATAGATGGTAGAGCGAAATGTTGGGAAAATAATAGGATGCTAATGACATCATGAAACCACCCTACCATCCTTGGAATGCCTACTATGAATTCACTTTTGTGGAAAAATAAATTTCTATCTTGTTAAGCCACTTTATATCTTCTACTAGTAGCCAAATGCTATTCTTAACTATTTTAACCTTAAATTTCAGTATTCTAGAATGTTGTTTCTCCCAAATATGCTCAGTACTATTTATTTCTCTGGGTTTTGCTACTTTTTTTTTTTTTTAATTTTTTTTTTTCAACATTTATTTTTGGGACAGAGAGAGAGCATGAACGGGGGAGGGGCAGAGAGAGAGGGAGACACAGAATCGGAAACAGGCTCCAGGCTCTGAGCCATCAGCCCAGAGCCCGACGCGGGGCTCGAACTCCCGGACCGCGAGATCGTGACCTGGATGAAGTCGGACGCTTAACCGACTGCGCCACCCAGGCGCCCCATGCTAGTTTTTTTTTAAATGTTTTATTTATTCTTGAGAGAGAGAGAGAGAGACAGAGCATGAGCGAGGGAGGGGCAGAGAGAGAGTGGGACACAGAATCCAAAGCAGGCTCCAGACTCCAAGCTGTCAGTACAGAGCTTGACGCGGGGCTCGAACCCACAAGTGGTGAGATCATGACCTGAGCCAAAGTCAGATGTTCAACCGACTGAGCCACACAGGCGCCCCTGGGTTTTACTACTTTTTATCTATTTGATGGAAGTGCTAATAACCAACAATATGATGATAGTACCGGGAACATTGTCTTTCAATAAGTATCTCTTGTTGCTACCCTTAAACAGAGGCAGAATAGACACTTTGCAGTATTGCTTCTGTTTTTATGTAGTTCACTAATTCCATCAGATTAATCTGTGTTAATTTACATTTTGGAAATAAAAGAAGCAGGGGCATTTATGAAACAGTTTTCAGCTCACACAAATCATTTAGAAAAGGTAAAAAAAAATCCTTCAACGCTAATTTGTACATTAGCCAACAGACAGGGCTGCATTAAAGATAGTAATTTTTAGGGGCGCCTGGGTGGCTCAGTCGGTTGAGCGTCCGACTTCAGCTCAGGTCCTGATCTTGCGGTCTGTGAGTTGGAGCCCCACGTTGGGCTCTGTGCTGACAGCTGGGAACCTGGAGCCTGCTTCACATTCTGTGTCTCCCTCTCTCTCTGCCTCTCCCTCACTCATGCTGTCTCTCTCTGTCTCAGAAATAAACATTAAAAAAAAAATTTTTTTTAAAGATAGTTTTTATAATCTCCAATTTAAGAGTTATTTTCTGATATCTTCCAAAAAGCAATATGAAGAACACAAAGAAATGACCTTTTGTCATTTTCCAGGCTTAAATACCATGCGTTAAATAAACAATATTTTATCAGATCACATAATTATCTCCCATCAAGTAGTTCTTTAAGCATGATGACCAAACACAGTCTTTATTTTCAAACATGTTTTCTAATTATAAAATATATATTCACCACAGAAAAAAACCTTAAGGCATAAAAGTATAAAAATGAAAATGACACATTTTCCCACAGACATACACTGTATTAACACTTTAGTGCATTTCTTTTTAATCTTTTTCCCATGTATATTTGTTACCTATCATATAAAACTTAAACTTCATAGTTTTTGTGTGCATTTTCTAATGTCATTAAAACTCTTCAAAAACATTTTAAAAATAAAAGTTTTAAATAAAATGTATACATGCTGATTGTAAATCAGAAAAAAAACAGAAGAAGAGGGGAAAATAAGGATCATCCATATTCCATCATCCAGAGATAAATACTTATCAACACTCTGGTCTTTTTCCTGTGCGCAAATACAAATAATTTTTTCCTTTATAAAACTAGAGAAGTATTTATATCCAATTTTTTTTTCATTTTATATATTGTAAACACTCTTCCATAATATAATTGAAAAATCTAAAAAATATTCCATGATATATACATGTGCCATGATTTATTTAATCATATATCCTGAGGGACAATTAGATTATATTCAATTATATATTATTGTAAATAATGCTACAATAAACATCCTGGTACGTAAACATTTGCCTGCAGCACTAATTGATTACTTATGATTCCTAGAAAAGGAATACTGGGTCAAAAGATAGAAACCTTTCAAACACTGATGATAGCGTATTGTTAAATTACTTTCCATATAAATTGTATCAACTTATTTATATTCCCATTGCAATACCTGAGTGATTACACCACTCTTCACTCAAAGCTAAAGGCTCACTTGACATACCTGTATATATGAAATCTAGAAGTATTTGAAAGATTCCAGCTTCAATTCCTAGAATCTGTACAACATCTTTTGAGGACTCTTTCATTCCTCCAGTAAACAAAGCTGCAAAGTAAGGGCTACTGGCAGCCAACACCAGCCGATGAACTTTAAAAGTTTCCTTCCCAACTTGCAGCTGCACATCACAGAAATGCTCTCCATTCCTCATTTTATTGATCTGGGCCAAGATGAGTTGGGCATGTTTATCCGATGAAAAAGGACTATCACCAGCCTTGGGACAGTCCTCATTAGCCATGATGATGACAGATTAATTAAAAGAACTGTTGCCCATAATCTGGTCCTATCCTGAAAAACAAAATAGGAGACCAGACAACGTATTTTTGTGCTTAACATGTCTTCTATTCATACACATATCAAACATTGACCATGTTCAAGAAGCTTATAATCTAGTTAGGGACATAAAACGCACATGTGGGGCGCCTGGGTGGCGCAGTCGGTTAAGCGTCCGACTTCAGCCAGGTCACGATCTCGTGGTCCGGGAGTTCGA